CTGGACATTCTCCTGCACAGCACCACAGCCCTGGACATTCTCCTGCACAGCATCACGGCCCTGGGCATTCTCCTGCACAGCATCACGGCCCTGCGGCGCCCCCTCGGCCGGCTGCTTTGACAGCCACGCCTCCAACTGCTGGATCATATGTTCCCGCAGCTTCTCCTTTGGTTTAGCCTGCCTCCCCCCCGGCGTCTCTTGCACCGGCGTCCTAGGCTGCCCGTTGTCCACGCCGTGGACTTTAGCAAGATCAGCGTCGCTGCTCTGTTTTCCACCGACGCAGTCGGACGAGGCCGGTCTTTCAGGGACTTTGGGTTCCTTGGCTCGCGCCCGATACTCACGCATGTCATTTCGGAAATAGGCTGTCCGCGAGGCAGGAGCAGCGGGCACCGACTCATCAGCCACGTCGTGGAGGGCGTCGGGACCCACCCCGTTCAGTCTGCGCGGCCCCTGCACATCGGCTCGGCTCGCCGCGCCTGCTAGAGGGTCCGCGGCGCCTTCGTCGTGGTGCTCCCCCGTGGCAGTCTGGCATGGTCCGGCCCCGGCGGGCTGATCGGCGAGCCCGTTCCCCGCCACCGGGACCCGCCGGCCCAGCGCGATCATGTCGACATCGCCACGCTTCCAGCCGCCGGCCGGCAGGGTGAGGCAGGCGTCGTAGTGCTCGGCGGGCGACGCCCCGGTCCTGCGCAGCACGATGGGGTCGGGGTCCTTCATCAGGGCGAGCACCTCGAGCACGCCGTCACGCACGACGCCGACGGTGTGGTAGAAGGCCTCCGCGGCCGCGCGCACCTCCACCGCGCCGCCGGGCGAGCCGTCCAGCTTCATACTCCGGCGGTACGCGTCCTGGTCCGGGAAGCGGGTCTTCCCGGCGAAGGTCGGCCAGTTGTTGACGACGTGGTTCACCACGCCGCGGCGCACCACCCGGTGGTGCTTCTCGTCGCGAAACAGCTTCACCGCGAGTGCGCGGAAGACGCAGTTGCCGTCCTTGAGCACGGCCTTGTACACGGCGCCGTACTCGTCAACGAAGTCACCAGGCAAGGGGGGCTGATCGGCGAGCCTGCTGCCTACACCGTCGTCGCACGCCTCTGCCAAGCGGTCGCACGCCTCTGCCAAGCGGTCCGTCTCTGCCTCTTCCGGGGCGTCGCTCACCTCAGCGTCTTCGAGCCAGACTGCCCACGTTGGGCACTGCTCCGGGTCCTTTAGCTCCATTTCCGGCTCGTACTCCGGCCCCTCCAGCGACTCGGCCAGGCTGCTCTGCGAGTCGGAGCTGCCTCCGCGCGAGCTCTCGCCGTGGACCTGCTGCTCTCGACGCCGACGTCGTTCCCGCGCTTTCCGCAGTCTCTCTTCGCGCTCCTCCGGCGTCTGGTTCGCGAAGCGCTGCACCTCCACGACGCGGTGCCTCGCGTTCAGCGACTCCCGGTAGCCTTCCTGGAGGCAACGCTTTTGGTAGTTTGCGCGATCTTTCTCCAGCTGCCGCGCGCGTTCCCACTTTGTCAAACTCTGACGGAGCCTGCGCATTTTCTCAGCCTTCTGTTTCCTCTGCACGAGCTCATGTTTCCTCTGTACGAGCTCGGCGTCGTCTCGATCAGAGCTAGACTCGCTCGCGACAGGTGCCAATAGATTTCTACGCACATCGCACACATTGTCCGGCACCTCGGGTGTCTCTGGTTCAGGCTCGGGCGCGACGGGGACCAGCTCCTCTAGCCCGCAGGGAGCAGGGTCGTCTTCCTCTTCACTGTCCATGCTGTTGTCAGTCACTAACACTCACTACGTAGATCACTGGTTGTCACTAACGGCTGGAGCAGACGGGCCGACACTGTTCGCTGTCCATGCTGCTGTCAGTCACAGTAGTCACCAACACTGACTAGATCACTAGTTGTCACTAACGGCGGATGCACTGCGAACTTCAACAGACACTGTCCATGCTGCTGCCAGCTGACACTCACTGGATACTGATCACTAACAAACAGCGGAGCGGACGCACAGCCTGGCGGAGGCGCGGACGCGCCGGCAACCGACAACACTGTGCGGGGCGTCGGCGTGTCTCTCGGACGACCGTGCCTCGGCGCGGGGCGCAGCACACTAACACAAACACATTCACACACACACACACTCGGCGCACCGGCTTCAGCAGTCAGTGCCGGTCGGCCGTCGGCCGAGCCGAACCCGAGCCGAGTCGAGTCGAGCCGAGCAGCCGAGCCGAGCCCGAGCCGAGCCGAGCCCGAGCCGAGCTGCCGAGCGCGCGGCGGTGGCGAATGGCGAAGTGCGAGAGAGACAACAACAGGTGCGCACATGGCCCGGCCGTCTTATTTCATTTCCGTCGGTGCGCATGGGCGCACTACAGACCCCCCCCCCCCCCCCCCCCCC